AGAGCCATAGGGGCATGGCAATATTTTGGTAATACCAGATGTTCACCTCCCCCTTTTATTTTTCAACAAGATTTGAGAGAATCCTGAAGTACAAAATCAGCATTTAAAATTTTCAAATGCCTAACATACTTGCATTCCACCTTTTTTATATAATCACATCAATTTTGTGGGAATAGCATAATGGCAGCTGGGGCCATCTGCAGCCCACTTACTCCTGCCTACAGAATTTGTTTTGCTGGATGGTAGGCTCTTTCAAATGATTATTACTTTTCTGGTATGGCATACTTGTATTTTGCTGAAAAGTTTAGACAGCGCACCACTTCTGCTTTTGTTGGTTCTTGCTTTTTGCTAGCTGTCAGCTATCCACCCATTTTCTTGAATCTTGAGCCAATTCTTGGGACACGATCCTGGGATTTATAATTGCAGCAAGCGGTTCAGAAAAGCACATACATTATCTTTTTAAAGTACCTCTCTGGAAAAGGCTCAGTGCTTTAAAAAAAAAATCATTGCCCTTGACAAGGTGGCACAGCTGTACAGCCTGATTTCTTTTGCCTCATTCTTCCTGTAATGACTTTGTGGAGGTTGCTACAACTTCTCAATTTATACGAGGAACCAGCAATTCAAGATAAACAGCCTGGCCTTGTATTCTTCCAACAGGATGGCTTCCCTTGAAAACTTGAGTATTGCAGAGTTCTGGCATATACACTCCCATTTTATATAGCATGCCCAGCATGCTGGAACTGTTGGGAGTGAGGGGAACTTTGAATGTTGCTCAAAGCAGCTCCCTGGTCTTTTATCATTTTTGGGACTGAGACAGTAGCTCTGAGCTGTACAGGGCAGAAGCAATTGATATAGTTCATTTGTCCAAATGCAATTGCTCTGAAACCTCACTACAGCATCAAAGTTACTTTTGCCAGCTCTACTCAGAATGTCTGGATTTTACCAATTTAACAATTTTATTGCCAAGCTGATATTGTGCAGGGGAAATGTTTCTTGAAACACAACTATCTTATTTTATTAAATTTAAAATATGCAGCAAAGAAATGGCTCAGGTATGTTTTGTAATCTGTAAAATATGTTGAGCATAGAGTAAAGCAAACTAGTCTCTTGCCGCGCATTTGGGTCAGTTTGCGACTGCCTGGACAAGACCCTGCGGTTTCCTTCACAAGGTTTTTTGGAAGTGGTTTGCCACTGCCTCCTTCCTAGGGCTGAGAGATTGTGACTGGCCCAAGGTCACCCAGCTGGCTTTGTACCTAACGTGGGACTAGAACTCATGGCCTCCTGGTTTCTAGCCTGATGTCTTAACTACTACACGAATCTCTACATATCCAGAATTAACACCCATGAGTTCTGATTAGATGTATGTTCTACAACATCCAAACTATAGTTCAGGGGCCATAATCTGCCTACGTATATATCACAAGTTCAGCAGCAAAGTTACCTGTGCAAGACCAAATAGTAGTAGAAATAATAACAATGAAGAAATCCACAACCTCATTTCACTGTAAACCATATTCTTCCTTATTTTAATTCCAGTAAAACAAAACCGAATACAAACAGTGAACAAGATTGCAAGTCCCTGCTTTCTGTAGACAACAGCAGTAAGAGATGGAGGGGAGGAGTCTCACTGCTGTATTAGTGGGAAGGACATTCACTGGGTATTCACCTCAGCTATAATGGGATGGATGCTTGGTGGTCGATCAAAAACTAGAACAAAATCTTCATGGAGAGGGGAGGGAGAACCCTTCAAACCATTGGACTGACCCTTTTCCCCTAAAGCAGCATTTTTAAGCAAGCAGACAGACCAGACAGATGTGGAAGGCTGCCTGCCACATTAATTACCACTTATACAAGAAGCAGAGACCGTCTTGATGGGTGCAGTTAACACTGCCAGGCTTCCTGAGCAAGGCGACGGCACAGGGGAAGGGGGAGGCAGGACAGAGGAAAGATCAGCCTCTCCTCTTTAATCCACCTCCTCCATGCGTGATGCATCCTCATCTCCTTCCAGGGGAGGGATCTCTTCAGATACAGTAGCAGTGGATTCTTCAACAGCAACTTCTTCTTCATCAATCCCTAGGGGGAAAGTATTCAATAATGCCAAACTCTTTTTAGACCATACCTGGTTAGAAATAATGCTACACATACATGATCTTGGTATGACTAAAAGAAAACTCTACAGATATATGTAGTCTGACCAAAACTCTATAGTCCACTATGGATATACTATAAGGTTATAACTTTTGGAGGTGTGAGTAGACTGCATTTAATGCCAGAGTTTATTCAACAATTTAAACACGAAAGTGGACAAGTGTATTCCCCAAATTGTAGATGTGTTTTTGCATATAGAGCAAAATATGTGTAGTTACTTGCCAGGCGAAATCTGAGGCACAGCATTCTACTCTTACTGTGTATATAAACATCTGGCCTTTCAAACTACCAGTTCACATCATGGTTACAAATATTTTCTTGGTACTTCAGACTTTGGTATCTGATTCCAAGGCAGTGCTTCATGTCTTTACCCATAGCCAGCCAATGTGAAAGATTGCTGTGTTATGTGGAGCACCCCATGTAGTTTTCTTCACCCACTCAGGACAAATTTCTTGATGTTACAAGGTTTGGTGCAAATTGACGGGAAGATTTCTAGGAGTACTGTTACCCAAATCAAGGTATAACTTCATTAGGCCAAATATCCACTATTTAAACAAGCCCTGGGGATGAAAACATCAGGGCAAAATTCTGATTCTGTGAAGCAGTTACTTGCCAAGTTTTACCTCCTCAATAATAAAAAATACCAGATCCCTGAGATCTCAGCAACTCACCTAATCCTAGCTTGATCATTCTATAGATGCGGTTAGAATGAGTTTGTGGATCATCCAAGGAGAAACCAGAAGAAAGTAATGCTGTCTCAAAGAGAAGTACCACTAGATCCTTGACAGCCTTGTCATTCTTGTCTGCCTCAGCCTTTTGGCGCAAAGTCTCTACAATGGAGTGGTCAGGATTTATCTCCAGATGCTTCTTGGCCATCATGTAGCCCATGGTAGAGTTGTCTCGTAAAGCCTGGGCCTTCATGATACGTTCCATGTTGGCTGTCCAACCATAGGTGCTGGTGACAATACAACAGGGGGAAGAGACTAGCCGGTTTGAAACTGTCACCTAAAAAAATAAACCAAATGTAGTCATAGCACTTCATCAATGCATGATGGGGACAGAGGTATGCTGCCATCTGCAATGACATCAGCAGAGTTAAAAGGAGACGACAACATGACAATCTCACCTTTTCAACCTTCTTCTCCAGGATTTCCTTCATGAGTTTGCAAAGATTCTCAAACTTGGTTTTATTCTCTTCCATTTTTTTCTTTTCATCTTCATCTTCAGGCAGTTCCAGACCTTCCTTGGTGACTGACACTAATGTCTTTCCATCAAACTCCTTCAGTTGTTGAACACTATATTCATCAATGGGCTCTGTCATGTATATCACCTCAAAACCACGCTTCCTCACACGTTCCACAAAGGCAGAGTTGGCCACTTGTTCCTTGCTCTCACCTGCAGTACCACAGAAAAGGGAGTGGTAAATGTCCAGTTACACACCTGGACCTCCAATAATACCATAGCAGAGTTCCATTTTAGATATTAACTCCCATAGAAGGCATGCTGTAGGTGGCCTTGCCCTTAGTCTCACTGAAAGACCCTTTGTTGGTGCCTTAGTATTCCAAAATTTAAAATGTTCAGTTGTAATATTAAAGACACAGGTTAAAGATTCATCTGTATAGTTAGCAAAACTATTATCATGTCTCCAATAAGAGCCCTTAGATTTGGTAGAAACACAGTCCAAGGTACCACAATTACTGCAAAACTTTGAGAATGGGACAACAAGCCTTCCCCTCAAACAGGAATTCAAAGCATGTATTAATGGGTATCCCCATAAATCTCCAAATGTATTCCAAAATGTGGTTACTCTCAATATACTGATTAAAACCCTCAAAATAAAACTTTCAATGGATATAAATTGAATAGCATTTGATCTGTAAAGACAATCCTATTGCTCCCTGATACTAAAACATCAGTAGCTACTAATACAAATACATATTTAAAATTTAATTGAAGCAACAATATCTGTCCCATAATCTTTTCATTCCTTGATTCCCAATACATAGAAAAATATAATTAATACAAAAAATGGGAAGACAAAGGCCTGGTAAGAAGTGTTATTTGTTCTTTTGCCTTTGAGTCAATCTTGACGCCTGGTGACCACATAGACAAGTCCATGCAGTTTTCTAGGAAACATTTTCCAAAGTGGTGTCCCATTGTCTTCTTCCTATGGCTGAGAGAGAATGACTGACCCCAAATCACCCATTTGGCTTCCATGCCCAAGGCAGGATAGAACTCAGGTCTTCCTGCTCCTAGTTCAGTGCCTTAACTACTAGACCAAACTGGCTTTCATTTGATTATTAACAAGAAGCTAATCTGCAATGGACATATCACTGAGTTGATTACACATTTCAACATAGTTCCAAACAGTAATGTGGGTAGAAAATATTTTGGAAAGAGTTGTATCCCACTTCCCTATACATACTGTCCCAAAATATAGGAATATATCAATAGTTTTCATTACCCATTTTTTCAACTGAGTAACCCAAGGAAAGATGCTATTGTCTTTAAATGTTTACATTAACATTTTCTACAGAATGTGACATACTTTAAATCACACTGAATCTATCTTCCTTTTTTCCTTCAAATATTTCAGACCAAATACTTGTGTATTGGGAC